TATTATTATTATTATTATTATTATTATTATTATTATTATTATTATTAACATGCTCTGATGCTAAGGAGTTCTACTCCCCTTCTGCAGCTGAAAAAAGAAATCTCTTCCAAATGCAAAACACAAGCAGAGGAGTTTCACTTTCACAGCACCAAGCAGTTTTTAGCACAGAGCAGTTGAGCTAAGCCACGCCCAAGCTCCTTGCTGTCGCCTTCTTGCTCACACCGCAAATACTCTTTCAGTTTCCAAACAGCCCTCAACTCTCTCGCACACTGACAGGACGCTAGCTTGATGGATACCGATGGAGGCTGGTAGGCAGAATTCCCCCCCCCCTTATTTTCCTCCCCCAAAACTAAGCCCGACCACATAGTTTCGTAGCGAAGCACACGGGTGTCGGGCTGGTCGTTAATATGCTCTGTTTAGTACTGAGATATTAATTATATATATATATATATATTTTAAAAGAAAAACCTTTTGGTGTTTGTAAATGTCTCCCAAGCCTGCTTTCTGAACCCTCCCTCGTTCTTTTTCAGCATTTTCACATCCCCGACGATGAATCCTGTTTACAGCGCCGTTCAGCCTGGGGCCCCCTACGGAAATCCCAAGAACGTCGCCTACGCAGGTAAAATGATCTATAAAAATTATGCGTCGTAGGATGTTGGCGTCCTCCGGAGCCCATCGCATCCGGCAAGATTCCCAGCCGGGTTTTTCTGATTCTGGCGCGGGAGGCGGAGTTGTGCTACCTGTTTTCAGGTCTTTTGTAAGAGAGCAAGAAATCCACCAAGCTCGGAGAGCGACGAGGGCCCCACAGCCGTCGTCCTCTTCCTCCTCCTCCCCACCAAGGTCACTCCTTTCTAACACTGATGATGTTACCTAGTTGGGTCATGAAACGTCTGCAAGAAAACCACCCAGCTCAGGGAGCACCAAGGACCCCACAGTTTTCCTCCTCCTCCTCCTCCTCTTCCTTCCCCTCCTCCTCCTCCTCCTCCCTCCTCCTTCGCCCTCCTCCTCCACATACTCCTCTCTCCCTTCTAGCACTGATGATGTATCCCAGTTGGGTCATGAAACGTCTGCAAGGAAACCACCAAGCTCAAGGACCCTACAGTTCTCCTCCCCCTCTTCTTCCTCCTCCCCACCAACTTCACTCCTTTCTAGCACTGATGGTGTTACCTAGTTGGGTCATGAAATGTCTGCAAGGAAATCGCCAAACTCAGAGAGAACCAAGGACTCCACAGATGATCATCTCCTCCTCCTCCTCCTCCTCCTCCTCCTCCTCTCCTCACCACAAACCCCCCTCCTTTCTAGTACTGATGATGTTACCTAGTTCGGTCATGAAACGTCTGCAAGGAAATCACCCAGCTCAGGGAGCATCAAGGTCCCCACAATCCTCCTCCTTCCCCATCCTCCCCATCTCCTCCTCCTCTGCCTCCGCCTCCCTGCAAACCCAACTCCCTTCTAGTACTGATGATGTTACCTAGTTGGGTCATGAAACGTCTGCTAGAAAACTACCAAGCTTAGAGAGCACCGAGAACCCCACAGCCCTTGATTTTCTCCATAAAGGATGTAAATCTTGTAGGGAATTTATTCATGTGGGCTGAATACCAGAGGTCTGTTTTAAAAGGAGTTTTAGTTTGGGATCCAGAGGAATTACGCGGAAGGAAGAGGAGCGGGATAGACTGGGGTAAGCAGAGAAGGTTCCAGCAATAGCACACGAGACTAAAAGAATAAAAGAGCAGAGGCCAGGCTTTTTAATTCGTAGCCCAGCGAACTTTTGTCTGTGGGTTTAGCAGGGACAAAGATGGCTTTGAATAGTATTCCCAAAGTATGTCCTTGACTTTTGCAATCGAAAAAACAACAACAACAAAGAATTTTCAGAGATAAAAAAAAAATTTCTCTACCCATATCCTGACTAATTTTCTTGCCTTTACCAATCCTTTTTTTTTCTTTTTGTAATGCAATTTTTTAATTTTTTTTATAAAAACACATACGAAACAGCAAATAAAACCACTTTTCAATTGAAGAGTATGTCGGTTTGGTACATATATCATGTGCACAATATAATCTTTTCCTCTGAACTTTACATTCGTGTTGTATTAATCAACTTTCCATTTCATATTTCATTATTTTACCATCATTCAAATTTTATTCTCAGTTCCAAGTTATCTTTAAGATTAAGTCTCAATTCTTACTAGATTGTATTCATAGTATATAACTTATTCAAAAGTAATCAGTTATAATATATCATTACTGTTACATTGTATTTCAGTGTCTTACTTTTCTATCTAACCATCGATAAAATAAATCCCAAATCTTATATTTCCAATCTTTATTTTTTTTCCAATTTTTTTTATTTCAATCTACATATAACAACAATTCATTAACAGTGTGGCATCAATATATCATACATCTCTCACTGCATTATATTCATATTAATTCATACTTCTTCAATCTCTGTTTTCAACCTTACTCTCTCCAAATGCCTACCACCATATCAATTAAACATACCTAATAATTCCATTATTCAATTTTCTTATTTCCAACCTTTATTGAATGATGCACTCAGTAGACCTCAAGTTACAACCATTTATTTAGTAAATTTTTAAAAAGTCTATAATCAGACACAGAAAAAGTCTCTAATTAGAAAGACAGATAAGAAAGACATGTAGACAGATAATGAATAAATAAATAAACATGGATAGATATGGATACATGGATGGATGGATGGATGGATGGATGGATGGATAGATAGATAGATAGGCAGGCAGGCAGGCAGGCAGGCAGGCAGGCAAATAGTGTCAGCGTTCCAATGAAACTCCCCATTTCCTTCAGCACTCAGAAACGAAAGTTCACCCAAGTAAGAATTTATTAAAGAAGTCATATTGCCACATCTGGGAAACCCCAAATTAGAGACTTCTAGGTTTCCCCTTCCCAAATGAAAACCAAAAACCCACCCCCTGCACCCACCAGTCCATCGCATGACCCAATCAACCACCGTCCCAACTGGAGACCTTCCTCCAGGCACACTCCTCTCCAGGTGCAGGGTAACTTGTCCTTGACTTCTAAGAAAGAATGTTGTTGAGTCTAATCTGCTCACTAAGAAATCCCCCCTCCCAAATTTCCCAGGCACTAAAATGTGGCAGCCTTGAAGGTTCTAAGTAAAATATGGCTTCTAAGGTTGATAGGGAAAGATTAAAGGTTCCCCTCCTCGTACATCCGTGCTCGTCGTTTCTGGCTCATCTCTGTCTCAAAGCTGAAGAAGAGCCAGCGCCATCCGAAGGCGTCTCCATGGTCATGTGGCTGGCGGGACTAAACGCCGAAGGTGCACGGAACGCTGTTCCCTTCCCACCAAAGATGGTCTCTGTTTTTCTACTTGCCTTTTTTACGTGCTTTCGAACTGCTAGGTTGGCAGAAGCTGGGACAAGGAACAGGAGCTCACTCCATGATGCAGCGCTGGGGACTCAAACCGCTGAACTGCCAACCTTCCTGATCGACAAGCTCAGCGCCTTAGCCACTGAGCCACCCAGGTCCCTTGTCCAAAGCTGATAAATAATAGGTAAATAGGTATAGATAGGTAGGTAGGTAAGATACTCTCAATCTTACATGGGAAAAGACCCAAACATGCCAAGACCTGTGTATGTACATAAGGATAGGTAGATAGGTAGATAGGTAGATGATAGGTAGGTAGATGATAGATAGGTAAGTAGGTACATAATAATAATGATAATAATAAATGAAACCCAACATAGTTATCTCATTTGCTTTATACACTGTTGTTTTTTGTGACTATAATAATAATAATAATCACATTATGGTTGCAGGCAGGGGTGGGATTCAAATTTTTTAACAACCGGTTCTGTGGGCGTGGCTTAGTTGGAGGGCGTGGCTTGGTGGTCATGTTATTGTCTGGGTGCGGCCAACTCGATGTCACTCACATCGAGGCACACATCTCCTCGCCTGGCCTGTTATGACTGTGGGGATGCTGCGACAGTCGTAAGTGTGAAAAAGGGTCATAAGTCACGTTTTTCAGTGCCATTGTAACTTTGAATGGTCACTCCACACAAGCAAAGTACCAGCAAAGGAGGAAAAAATACTCCAGAGAAGTTCCTGAGACAGGAAGTCTAGTCCTGCCAAGAATGTAATAAGGGTTAACGGAGAGGCAGTTTCTGTCAGCAACACCAGAATGTTTCCTTCCTGCCTTCCTTACAGGATTAGCCCTGTAATTTCTTCTAACAACCGGTTCTCCGGACTGCTTAGAAGGTTAACAACCGGTTCTAGCAAATAGGTGAGAACCGGTAGAATCCCACACCTGGTTGCGGGCACGTGAGGACGAAAAGGTTTGCCATATATGCCCTTACGGATGCAGATTCTCACACTCTGTTTTATATCAGATCGCGGGGGGCACCCGAGGCTTCCCCACCTTGTTCAAAACGCGATGCCGTTCCTGTTTGAAGCTCGGCTCTGGGGTCTGGAGTGTTTATTCTCTCCCCCCACCTTTCTAGCTCTTTCCGCCAAGTCTCCGCGGAATATTAACTGTTTTGTGCCCTAATCCTATTGCCATGGATTTGCAGAGGGCCCAAAGGACAATAATTCACTCTAATAAACTCAAGAGGTTTTTTTTTTTCCCCTGGGGCCTCTGTGATATAATTTAGCCCTTCCAGCAACAGCCACAATTTGATCAGTTCTCCTTTGCCGCTGAGTGGGGATTTTAATTAAACGGTTCCGGGGAAAACAAAAATCAATCGAATTAATTTGCAATTCTTTACCTATAAATATTCTCCTATTTTTTTCCCCCCTTACCATTGACAAAATACACCCGTGATGTTCCTGCCACAATTTGAAGGAAAGCACTCCCAAATGTTTAGACAAAGGCCGGTGTTAGATATGTTTTGATCTGCCTGATGTACAGAAATATTTTTTTTATTTGTTCTGAAATTTATTTGACGCTCATCTCAAGTCTTAACGGCTCTGGGCGGGTTACAGCATAAGAACATTAAAAGAGTAAAATATACAAGACTCATTTTATCGACCTTGGAAGGAGGGAAGGCTCAGTTAACTCTGGGCTGGTTAAGATCGACCTGCTGGCAGTGGGCAGAGTTAGCCTGCAATACCACCTTCTAACCACTGTGCACCATGGAAGAAAGGAAGGAAGGAAGGAAGGAAGGAAGGAAGGAAGGAAGGAAGGAAGGGAAGGAAGGAAAGGAAGGAAGGAAGGGAAGGAAGGAAAGGAAGGAAGGATGGATGGAAGGAAGGAAGGAAGGAAGGAAGGAAGGAAGGAAGGAGTAGCAATAGCACTTAGACTTATATACCGCTTCACAATGCTTTCCAGCCCCTCTCTAAGCGGTTTACAGAGTTCATCCTCTTGCCCCCAACAATCTGGGTCCTCATTTTACCCACCTCGGAAGGACGGAATGGGCTGGATGGAGGGGTTGGACTAGATGACCTACAAGGTCCCTTCCAACTCTGTTAATCTGCAAAGGATTCGGTCTCAGCCTTCCAAGTTTCTCTGGGGAAACCTGAAGGCTCCAGCTGGAGATGAGCAACCTGGGTGGCTACTACGAGCGGAGCGCGACCGGGTGGCATATAATCCAGGAAACTGAGAACGAGGCTTTCGGGAGAACGGCG